CAAGGTGTTGCCCAGGGGTGAGAAAACACGGGAAGAGCAAGTGACACTCCACTGGCCTTGGCCACGCCAGCCCTCCCTGCATCTCTGGCTCCCTCCGCAAATGACGACACTCCAGGCTAGACCAGGAATAAAACCCCGACTCCGCTGCTCATCAGCCCGTCGTGGCCTTGGGCAGTCATTTCCTCCCTTGAGCCTCGATTTCCTCACCTGTGAAATGGGACAGCAATGGCGTCCCTGGGTGGACTGCATGAGCTCCTGCAGATAAACTGCTCCATGTCCGGCAGACGACACACGCGGATAAACATTAGCTATTATCATCACCAGGTCTGAACTCTATCTAGATCTGGAGATTTTTTTTTTTTCTTTCTTTTCCCTTCTGGCAGCTTCTTGGCACCTACACACACACACAGCCTGCAGAGCTGTTTTGGAGCCTGAAGGAAAAAAAAACAGGCCTTCCACCTTCCCCGCAATCATCTTATTATTTCCTTTCCAAGTCCGGGAGCAGACACGGAGTGGGGGACAGGAAGCGGGGCAGCTCCAGGTGGTGACGGGCACAGGTGCAGGTGAACGACGGCCCATCTCGCACCTGGGTGCACACTGGGTCCCCAGCGGGCAAGGCGCGTGGGAAAGGCACACCCGGACACCACCAGGGTGCTCCCGCCCAGGTTTTCCGTTCCACTGTTAGCAACGTAGGCAGGGAACTCTGGGCTCAGGAAAGATGCTGGGAACGCGGGCTTCCCTTTGGAGCCGGTCGATGAGACCCTACAGGGAGCGAGAGGGAGGTGGGCGCGCAGAGCCCGCGGTGCCCCGCGTGGGCGAGCGCTCCGCCCGCGTGTTTTTGGCGAGGCTGGCTCTGCGCTCTAGTTCGGGGAGGAAACTGGAGATTTGGGGAGGGCAGGCGGGCTGGTGTGGCCGAGGCCAGCGCCAGAGGGTGGCCCTGGGTTTTGCACGAAGTCCCCAGGGCCCTCATTCCTTCAACGCGAACCTCTTACGGACCGCAGAGCGAGTCGCACGGGGCGAGTTCTCTCTGCTCTCGGGGAGCTCCAAGCTGTGAGGGGGTGGCCGGTGACAAAGCTGACGATCACAACGCGGCGTGGCGCCTGCTATTGCAGCAGGGAGCGCAGATGCCACCCGCGCCCCAGGGATGGGCATTTAACCCAGAAAGGTCGGACGGGGAGACGGCTTTCCGGAAGGAAGCAGCAGGACGCCAGGTCCTGCACGCGGAGGGGCACGATCCCCACAGAGGCAGGGGCAGGAGGGAATGTCTGCAATGCTCTCCTGCGCGGTGGGGCGGAAGCGTTCCCATGCGTAAACACGGAACCGTGCAATGACCGTGAAAATGACAAGGGAGCTCCAGGCGGAGGGAGCAGCTTGTGCACAAAGGCCTGGAGGCGAGAACAAAACATGGGCAGCTTTTTTCTCATACCTGTCTCGGTTCCTAGAAATCCGAGAGGCACCTGAACACAAGGAAAGCACACTGGTGGCAAGAAAGCGATGCCCGATTCCTCCACTCACCAGCTGTGGGACCGCAGGCAAGTTGCTTTGCCTCTCTGAGCCTCAGTTTACTCATCTGTGAAATGGCCACACTACCACCTTCCCCAGAGTGCACACAAAGCGCTCGGCGTGGACCCTGGCACTTGGCAAGTGCTCCAGCGGTGACGTCCATGAACACCGTTCTCTGTCTGCCCCTCTTGTCCTTTCTGGATGGTGTCCTCGGGAAGGGACCACGCTGATTCTTCCTGGGAAATCGGGATCATCTTGGTGCTCGGGGAGGCCGGGGTCAGGGTGGGGAGGAGTAAGCAACCCAGTGGGCACCACCTGCTCTCTGGCCCCCTACCCCCAGGCTGTCCCCCACTTCTTCTCAGGGAGGATTCCCAAGGGAATGGCCCTGCAGGAATGGACGCTGGGAGCCGGCATTCCCGCGCCAAGCCCAGCGCTGTGTAGACAGACACACACAGTCCTCCTGAGCCCACACAGCCACCCCGGGATCCAGGTAGGGGCACCGAGACTCACGACTTGCTCAAGATCACGCAGCTCAGAAGAGGTGGGACCCAGATTTAACTCTCTGCCCCGAAGTGGACAGGACATATAAAAGCGTTCCCAGCATGGTCAATAATATCTATACAAACACTTACTTGTGTTTGTTCTGAGTACTTCACATATATGAATCCTTCCCAACAACTCCAAGGAAGGTACTATTGCTGTGCCCATTTTATAGTCGATAAAACTGAGGCACAGAGAACTTAAGTTACTTGCCCAAGCCCACATACCTACACAAGCCCCTGAGGTCAGGCTCCTGCCCTGATGACAGTTGTGCCCTCACGTCCTGCAATTCTCATTCACTGTTGGCCAACTTGCTCCTGCCACAGGGCCTTTGCATGGCTCTTCCCTCCACCTGAAATGACCTCTCCACTGAAATTCACATCACTGGCCCCTTCTTATTTGAGTTTCTGTTCCATGATGACCCCGGCAGAGGCCCCCTCCTGGCCACCCTAAAGAAAATCACTTCCCTGCCCCACTCTCATGCCACCCTGCTGTATCTCGTTCACAGACTTTAATGCCTATGGGTTGCTTTGTTTTCTGTGTTTCCTCACTCAGGAACATCAGCCTCTCTGGGTCACCTTTATTTTTATTTTTTGAGACACACCCTCGCTTTGTTGCCCAGGCTACAGTAAGTGCCGTGGCGTCAGCCTAGCTCACAGCAACCTCAAACTCCTTGGCTCAGGCAATCCTCCTGCCTCAGCCTCCCTAGTAGCTGGGACTACAGGCATGCACCACCATGCCCAGCTAATTTGATCTATGTATATTAGTTGGTCAATTAATTTCTCTGTATTTATAGTAGAGACGGGGTCTCGCTCTTGCTCAGGCTGGTTTCTAACTCCTGACCTCCAGCGATCCGCCCACCTCGGCCTCCCAGAGTGCTAGGATTACAGGCGTGAGCCACCGCGCCCGGCCTGGGTCACCTTTAAATCCCCAGCCCCCGGTGTATACATGTTTGTTAAATGGGCACACACGATTGGATCATGTCAGCCTTTTTCAGAGGGCTGGGGGGAATCTGCACCTACCCAAAGGCGCCCTACCTACACGAAGGTGCTCCTTCTCCCCTCCAGTCTAACCCCAGCACCTCCTCCCCGGCCCTACCCCGCTCCCTTCCCCGCTTTGCAGTGTGAAATATGAGCTCCGGGCTGCAAGAAGGGAAGCTGCACCAGCCACATCTAGGAAAGTTACAGAGCAGGGACGAGGCATCTGTCATCCCGTGGGAGGCTGGGCCCAGGAAACTGACAACGCTGGCTCCCGGCATGCTCTGCAGGCCCACCTCCTGTCAAACCCACAACCCGGGGGAATTCCTCCCGCACCCCCAGGTGCCGAACAGCAGGGGGGCTGCCCACCGCCCACCCTTCCAGGGGGGACCCCAGCTACAAAGAACCCCCATCCAAGCCCGTCCAGACCCCAAACAACAGGAAGCAACAAGAAGACACTTGAGAAATAAACAACAGAACCGGGAAACCCAAGAAAGTCAGGGGCAGGGGCATCTTCCCTTCTCTCTCGCCTTCTTAACCTTAGGACTGAAGCTGATTAAAACTTTTTGCATAAGGAAAATGTTCACATAGTTCAACAGGAAAAAATAAAAAAGTTTACAGTGAAAAGCTGGCTGTCCCTTCATGCCTCCCAGCAAACCCCTCCCTCCCACAACTACCTTGTGGATTCTTCCCGTCTCCAGAGCAAACTGAGCAATTACAAATAGATAATTTTATTCTCTTAAAAAAAAAGGTTGCCATATGATATATACTGCACTGCACCTTTTCTCTAATTGGATATAATTCTATATTTGTACACAGAAAGATAGAGACATAGATATAGATATTAAATACATTAATATGTGTACACGCATGCGAGCTATTAGGGGATTCCTATAATTTTCAGTCAATTCTCCTGCAAAGGCGTGTTCAGACTGGGGGTCAGGAGAGGTCGCCCTACAGCTGAGCACAGATGGCTGGCCACCCCCTCTCGGCAGGCAACACGCGATGCTGTCTGCACTCAGCTCGAGGCAGGTGCCAGGAGCCAGCTCCCTGCCAGAAAAATCTGCAGCTCCCGTTTCTTGAGCAGATCCCCCAGAGAAGGGAAACTGACGATCAGAGAGGTAAAGCGACTAGCCCAAGGTCACACAGCCAGGAAGCAGAGCTGGCAGGGTCCCCCAAAACGCCAAAGCCAGTTTGCCCACACACCTGGCCTCCCGCGGTGTTCAGTCCGCACTCCGCCCCAGTTCAGGGCTCGGGATCCAGTCCCCAGCCCGCTGGACTTGGGGGAACAGCGCTTCCTCGGTCACTTCCCTGCGGGCAGCCAGCCCTGAGCGCCCCGCCCCGGCCGCCCGATGCAGGGCTCTGCGGGTCCGGGCGAAGCCGCCGGCTCCGTGCAAAGTGCTCTGGGGGCGCTGCCTCGCTCACGCCCTCCAGCTGCCCGCGGGAGGGGCCTGCCTGCACCCACTGTGCGGACGGGAGCACGAAGGGAGGCGCGGAGGTCGCTCTCGGCCGCCTAGGTCACCGGCCGGCGAGCGCCGGAGCCGGCTCCCACCCAGGTGCGCCCGCCCGACTTCCAAACTTCCCGCCCCTGCGCCCCGCGGAGCCCAATGCGCGCCAGGTGCGGGCGCGCACTCCAGCCCGGCAGCCCGGCGCTCGCCCTCCGGCCCGGGAGGCGCCCGCCCTGTGCCGGCGGGGCTGGGGGAGTTGCAAGTGGGGGGGGGGGGGTGTCCCGGGCCCTGTTCCCTCCGCGGTCGGCAGTCCCCAGGCTCAGGGGTTCCCGGGCAACTCCAAGGCTGACTCCTCGCCGCCGCCCGAAAAGTGGCCGGCGGGGGCCCATTTGGAGGAGGAGGAGACTGAGGCGCAGAGAGGGCCAGCCACTGGCCCAAGGTCACACAGCACGGCGGCGGGCCGGGGCCCCGCGAACGCCCGCCCGCCCGGGAGAGGTGCCCGCCCGAGGTGCCCGCCCGCCCCGGTACTCACAGCCGGTCTTGCCCTCGAGCTCCCGCACCTCGGCCGACGCGGAGTGGGCAGCGCCCATGGTGCCCGCGGCGGGCCCGGACGCGTCCCTGGCGGGCGCGGGGCGCACACGGCTGCGCGGCGCCGGCGTGGCTCGGGTCGGCCGCGGTCGGGGCGCGGGGACGCTCGCAGCCGCGGGTCCGCGTGGGGCCCGAGCGCGGCCTCATATAGCGGCGGAGGGCGGCGCGCCGCGGTCCTAGCGCACGCCGGCTTCGCGCGCTGCGGGGGAGGGCGCCCGCCCGCCCGGCCGGAAACCGCGCAGGGGCCGGAGCCCCCGCCCAGGGCCCCGCGTCCCCGCAGCGGCGGCCGCGCGTCGTGCCTGGCCCCGTCCGCGCCTCGGCAGGCGCGACACAGTCGGGGCGCGGGTACGAGGGATGAGACCCCCGGGACGGCCCCTCCGCCCCGCGGCCTCCCAGGTCTCCGGAGGGAAACGCCACTGGAACAGCCGAGGAGGTCAGCAAGCGTTAATTAGTAGAAGGCAAACAATAGCAGTAATAATAATCCCCTGTGGGTGCGCGCCACGTGCTGTGGCTAATTGCAGGAACGCACAGCGCCCTTCTGAGCCCAGCACACGCGCACGTGACCGCATGATCCCACCCGCAGCCCGCCCGCACCGCAGCTGGGGGGCATCCAGAGCTCGGGGTTTTGACCCAGGCGGGCCCAGGTGGCCGCGTTTCACACCAGCTGCGGGGAGAAGGCGATGTGGGTGGTCCCCGTGCTCCTGCGGAAAGTTCTGGGCGGCTGGGCGTCTAGGAGCAGGAGTGGGGCCACTCCTGCCACCTGTCTAACATGATCCCTTCTCCTTACGATGGGAATACGTTAATGAGACACCCACCAAGGGGGCTGGCACCGAGACCCCATACGGTAACAGAGGCCGCTGGTCGCCGTGCAATCTTGTCCAGCTTACAAACGAGGAACTGTCATTCAGGGAGGTCACAGCCAGGACAGAGCTTCAAAGCCAAGACTCTGTGGTTTCGGTTCCCAGGTTCAGGCCCTTGTGCTCTGCGGTGTTTGGCGACACCACTGTCGATGACTGTCCCCTGTGCCATCTGGCCTGGGTGCCAGGCTCAGTGGGAGGCGCTAGGGTGCCCACAGACTGGACTTGGTGGGCTGCCTCCCTCAGTGTCCCAGGCTGCTGGGGAGGGGACTACTGACACCCAGCCGTCCATCCCTGCAGACTACAGGCCCAAGCCAAAGGACAGGAGGTGACTTTCAGGGGGTGGGGCCTGGAACCTGCCAGAGCAGTTAGAAGCAGCCCCCTCCTGGATGGAAACCCAGCTTCCGGTTACACTGCACGTTGGCGTTCTCAGAGCTGAGGCCGAACCGAACCTGCATTTTAAGCACCCCCAGGCGGTGCTGAGACCCGGCCCAGCTGGGGAGACGTTGGCTGTGCGGCATCAGCGGGTCTTTGAGCGGGCTGGACTGCAAACCTGGGGACTGGTTTTCAGGTTAGAAGGATCCCAGAAACCCAGGCAGGCCTCCCTGGTCAGAAAAAACATCCCCGATCCCCCTGGGAGGTCTAGGCCTCTGAGCCCGCCCATTCTACATACGTGTCGGGAGCAATTTAATTCTGACTTAAAATCTCAGTTCCTGGAATTTTATTATATTAAACTAGTCAAGGATGAAATGATGGCGCTGTCTGCTGGGAAGATAGGAAGTGGCGTTGTCCGGCCCGCCCAGTTGCTCCCAGAGCTGGAGACGTTGCATGTGGGTGGGGACAAGGAGAGGGGCACATGGCTCCTCTGCCCCTCGGGTGACCTTGGGGAGGCCCCCCAGTGTACAGGGTGAAGGGAGCCACTCTTACTGGGTCACCTGTACACTGGCCCAGGGGCCCCCATTAGCTCCCAGACGAGCCCTTGCACTTGTTCCTTCTGCCTGGAACTCTCTTCCCCTCCCTCTCTCCGCGGCCGGCTCCTCTCCAGTGTAGACATCACCTCCTCAGAGGGGCCTTCTCCGGGTGCTCCTCCCGTCACCCGGGTCTGCAGCCAAACAAGCCACCGTCACCAGCCAGCAGAGAGCAGGACAGAGGGGCCTGGGTAGACGACAGAGGAAAATCTACTCCTGACTGCAGGGCTCGGAGAAATAGCAGAAGCACCGGGGCAGCAGGAAGGGGAAAGCTCAGGCACAGTGTGTGCGTTTGTTCCTTCCTTCCTTTATTCATTGCACATTTGTTGAGGGCCTACTATGTTCAGGGCTCTGGCCGGGTCCTGGAGCCACAGCCAGGACTAAGATGCCACCTCTGCTCCCGGTGGCCGGGGGAGACAGGCACACAGGCAGTGAAGAGCAGAGGGATAAACAACGGCTGACGTGGCTCTCGTGGGGCCAGTAGAAATCTGGAATGTGCAAGCCGGAATGGCCCCTGGAGAGATTCTGACGTCCTTTAAACTGAGCTTCAGGGAGTCCGTGATTGTCCCCAACTGTGGTCCCCAAGGGGTACGCCAAAGCCAAGCACTGTGCGGCTGTGTGGGCCCCCGCCGTGGCACTGCCACCCGCCTGGGCTCTGCCCTGCACTGGGGTGACGCGCACTCCCGCAGGGCGCTCGCCACACAAAGCCCGGCGCCTGTTCCGGGACGTCACGGCTGTCATTCAGTCCTGCCAGTGCCTCTGCTGCCGTCACAGAGCAGGAACCAAGAACGCGGTCTGCGGCTTTGCATGGGGACTGGCCGGGGCTGATTGGATTTGTCATCCAGAGCCCTGGACGAAGGACACCCCGTGGGGTGAGCTTTAGCCCCCATAACACAGCGTGACCTTCCGAGGACTGGGAAACACTTTTGTCGCCAGGCAACTGCCTCTGTTCTCCCAGAGGGCCTCCCCCCGGAGGAGCTGATTAAAATCGGTGGCCACGATTCAAATAGCCGGCGACTGTGACGCCACAAAGGGCAGCCGAGCCCGGAGACAAAAGGCCAGTCTCCAGTCAGCTCTCCCACCTGCCCGTCAGGGAGAGCTGCGGAACCAGACTGGGGCAAGTGGCTTACCCTCCTGGAGCCTCAGTTTCCCCAACTGCAAAATGGCAATAACAACAGTGCCTTCCTCATAGGGTGGCTGTGAGGGTTACATGCAGATCCCCTCATGTCAAGTGCTTGAAACTGGCTGCCCCACCAGCCGTCCGACAGGGGGACGGGGGAGGGAGCCCTCGTCTGTAGCACTTGCCAATTTCTATGGTGTAAACACTCCCACCGTTGTCAGTTTCAAGCGACCAATAATTTAACAACAGGCTTTCAAAACCCCTAAATATTGAGCCATTTACTCTTGCAAGCTAATCGTGCATTCACTGTGGAGTGCCTGGAGTTTGAACACCATAGTGAAGGAGATAGTCCCTGACCTCAGGGATCCCAGAGTCTAGAAGCAAAGACCCTCACGGTACACTAGGGGGTTCCAGCTGTTGCAGGGGTGTGGACACCCAGCACACCCCCATTTTATCGCTAGGAAAACCACGGTGTTCAGAATGGGTTGCAAGTCAGAAAGACAGCGCAGACTTGAAGGCATCTGAATAGCAGTTTCTAGAATTTGCCCGTCCCTTCTAATCACTCAGCTTGGGGTAACTCCCGTGGCTTGGCAATGTTCTAGGAGTAACAAGACACTTTTCTTCAACTTTGGGCCACTGACTCCAAGAAATTGCCACCTTGCTTGGCCTCTGGTTTGGTGAGGACCACACCTAAACCACATCAAACATGCGACGATCAGTGATGCGCTTGTGAAACAGGCCCAGCGATTGTGGCTCTGACACTATAGTTTTTCTCATAAGCTCATTCAGGCTCCTCCTGATGCTGGTTTCATATGTCTGGGTCTCTTGGTTTAAATGTCAATGGAATCAGAAACTCGCACCCCCAATTTGCATTTTGCACTAAAATCGTCCTTTTGATTATCTTTTTTTTTTTTTTTTTTTTTGAGACAGAGTCTCGCTTTGTTGCCCAGGCTAGAGTGAGTGCCGTGGCGTCAGCCTAGCTCACAGCAACCTCAAACTCCTGGGCTCAAGCGATCCTTCTGTCTCAGCCTCCCGAGTAGCTGGGACTACAGGCATGAGCCACCATGCCCGGCTAATTTTTTCTATATATATTAGTTGGCCAATTAGTTCCTTTCTATTTATAGTAGAGACGGGGTCTCGCTCTTGCTCAGGCTGGTTTCGAACTCCTGACCTCGAGCAATCCGCCCGCCTCGGCCTCCCAGAGAGCTAGGATTACAGGCGTGAGCCACTGCGCCCGGCCTGATTATCTTTTGAGCAATCCTGCACCCTGATCTTTTCAGCTCACCCTGGGCAACAGCGTGCTATAGGAGGTAAATTCAGATCTGAGTTGGATGCCGGCTGTGCCACCCCGTTTGTGTGCCCCTGGGTTGGTTACATTGCTGCTCCAAACCTCGATGTCCTCATCTGTATAATGGGCACACAATCCCATCTCCATGGAGTCGGCGAGAGGATTCAGCAGGGGTGAAATGGTTGGCATGGAGCACACCGTTCCCGGCTGGCCTCTCCTTCCCTCGGGGGAAATGTGTGGGACTTCATGGCCAGCCTGACTGTCCCTTTCTCTGCTAGCCCTCCCGCCCTCTTGTCCCCATGGGTTCCAGGGAGACAAATAAATGGAACTGTGATTCAAAACTCTGTCCAGCCCCCCTGTTCTCATTAAATCACGTTCAGCCTGGGTGGAATGAGCTCAGTAAGGGGAATTTAGAACAGTTGTTCCTTCTCTGAGTGCTTGAAACTCAACCCCTGAGTTGGACAATCATGTCTTCTCAATTGCCCCGGACGAGGGCCCCTGTGGGTGTCCAGCTCGCCCAGACTCTTGGGCTCCTGTTCCCCCAGGAGGCACGACTGCCACTGCCACCGGCATCTTCGTCCCAACCTGTAGCTGGGGCCGGATGCCCAGACCTCAGAGGGCTGTGGCTCCACGGGAGGGCGGCTGGCCCTAAAAATAGGAGATGGGGGCTCTTCAGGGAGGGAGGCTTGAGGTTGTCTTTCTATTATTGATACAATTATAAATAGTGACCAATGACTGGAACTTGCAGGGGGCAAATGGAATGTTGTCTCTGGACGGGCTTCAAACTCTCCGTGTGGTTGTCCGAGAAACGAACTTATCGGAGAAACAGAAAGAGGTGGCTGGAGACCAAAATCTATTTTAGCTTCATGGCCACTTTATATGGAGCGGTGGGAGACGGGGTGGCCCGGATTTGGAAG